TTCTATTTCTAAGGTCTAAAGGGTGTGGTATAGATGCTGAAGCAGTTTTTCACTATTTGCACATTTTAACCACAAGCAATTAACTGGATATTATTAAGAAATGTAAAATAGAAAAACCTATTATACCTCTTTGTAATGACTAAAATATGCACGTTTAAATTGTTTTTGCCTGCAAGGACTTGTCAAAATTATCTGTACATTTATATCCTATGGGCTATATGTTAAAAAAAGAAAAGAAATTAACTGCTGCAATTAGTATGTCTCTCCTCAGTTTCACTCACTTTCCTTGTTGTCTGCTGTGTCTGCTGACAGTCTAAAGAAATTTGTATAAATTCATGTCCGCTTTTAATATCTATTATGATTTCTCTATTAGAGAAAGGGGGAAAAGTCTTATTTTTTTGTCCATTTCCCATTTATTAATGAAATTCATATTCTCTTCTAAATCTTTGATGGTGTTTTAAGGCTTTGTTTGTTTGTTTGTTTTTCATGGAGTATTTATTTATATCCAAGCACCTGATGATGGTTATTATGTTGTGGTTATAGTGTCTCATGATGTTACAAGTTGAATTCACTTTTTAGTCAAGGATGTTAACAGGTGCCCACTAATCTCTTCTGGACTTTTTTTCCTTTCTTTTTTTTTTTTTTCTTCTGGTGTTCCTTTCCCTCTTTTCTTTCCTCAGTACTTCAGTCCCATCTGCTTACTGACTTCCCTTAGCCGCAGTTACATAAACTTTTTCTTCTGCCATTAAAAAGTAGAACATAGGAAAAAATAAGAGACGTAACAAAACAGAAGGAAAAATAGCAGATAGAGGAAAAGAGCGTGGAGTCTTTTGGTCAGGAAAAGAGCAGTTGCTTCAAAAGTGATTGCTGCAGTCTCATGTTTCCATAAACATATCAACAAATTAGAGCATCAAAGTGAATTGTTTCAAGCAAGTATCGGGAGAACTGTTGTTTAAGATACTTTCACATAAAGCAACAAAAAATAAACACCTGCCAGCTACCTAAGTCCTTAAATAATCCTGCCTTTTTAGTGCTGCTTCACGTACTGTGTGTCATTTTATGGTTATATATCCTGAAGTTGGTTTTTCTCCTCATGGTAAAATCTGATGAGGCTTTTTAGCGTTAGTCTGTCTCTTACTGTGCAAATATGGAAAACAGTCCTAAATCTTTGAGCTTGCAATCCATAGTCACAGCAGGTCTGTCCACAGCTGCCTACAAGTTTGCATTCCTACCACATGCAGTAAGGCTTTCTCCACAGACCCATGTCACCAAGGAATTCAGTGAGGAACAAGAAATCTTCAGTTAGAGAGGTGCCGCAAATGTGTGAAAAAAATAGCCTCACATAAACAGTAAAGGTCATTAGCAGGCTCTTCAACTCCTGACTAGGAACTGCTTTTTTGGATCATTAACAATAAAAAGCCTAGGAAATGAATAGGACTCAGTGTCCTATTAAAAATTAGCCAGAACAATTAAGAGGTTTTCAAATTTCTAATGGGAACCAGGCCAAATAGCTCATTTTCCCTTGTTTCTGCATTCTGAATTACATTAATTTTATATCCTTCTATTTTTAAAGGAATATCTTTAAGTATTTTTTCTATATAGGTGTTGTAAATTATTTACAGTAAGGGCAGTGAAGGCTTGGGAGAAGTGGAATCCACTGTCTCCCAAAGTCTGCTTTACTGATCCAAAGTCTTGTGAATCTAAACTAATGAAGTGAGCTATGAAGGGATTACTTACTATGTGTACAAATGCATACTTTGCAGCCTCCTAATACAGTTGCAGTATTATGAGAACACATATATTAAGATGCTCATTTAGTTGCAGAGGCACAGGCTTTTTTTTAGAGTGAGATGTCTCTCCTTAGGGACATACTTACTTCTTTGAACTTTTCTGATTTCAACAGCAGTCTTTCTGCTATCATTTCAATATAAATTTCTTGCTGTTGGTTTGTATGTAAATTACTCATGGCTATTTAAGAACTATTTTCTCTCCAGCTGCATGCTTTTCCTTAACCCTAAAATGATTTCGGCAGGAGAAAATTGCAAACAGTGAGCTCTTATTATATTTAATACACCTCACAAAAAATAAATTTAAATACATTCCTTAAACATGCATTCTTGCAAACATGTCTTTTATAATGAACTGAAGTGAGGAAGAGACAAAGAAAGAACAAAAAACAAATAGTATTTTATACTGCTTTGCCTGCAAGCCTGCTGCTCAGGAGGAAGACTCCAACATGATTATGAATATTTTTCACTCTGTGGCTGCTAAAGTCATTTCCCTTTCCATTGGCCTTAGGTACTAAATCTCCCCACCTAACTTTTAGGTAATAATCAAAGTAAACTCTGAACTAATCGGTGGTAGAAGCCAAATGATTTTCCTGAAAGGAAAAAGGAAAAAGAAATTTGTCCAAGGAAAAGAAGATTACAGATAACTGAGCTGGGGGTAGTGGGAGAAAAAAAAATAAAAGAAAGGTAGAAGAAGACAATCTCTCTAATTGTGTTCATTCTATGCTTATTCTTTTTCACCAGATGCAGAGTTTATTTCTGCAGTGATTGAATTTCCTGGTCATTAACATAAAATTAACTCCAAATGGTCTTGGCCAAGAACTTTGAAATATGTTAGTATAGAACCACTCAAAAACATGTGGAAATCCATGTGGATTTCCAGATGTGAGAATATTCTCTGATATAAATAGAGTTATGTTTACATAGCATAATATTCTGTTGTGTGATAATACCCTAGATGTAGCTGTGCTTCAGTAGTGCTTTATACTGTGGTTCTATACCTGAATGAATGCATCTGTTTTCACGGAAATTCCATTCCAACAATAACTGTTTTGTAAGCATACATTGTCTGCAAGTTAAAATACTCCCTCAAGAAATCTAAGAAATTCAACATGCTAGTAGATTAGGTTGACAGTGGAATATTTTAAAAATTACATATTTAACTTTTGATTTTTCACGTTTTGATTTTCCCTCTCTGATATATTTTTCATTAGTATTTTCTTCACTAGGATTAAAATTTAAAGCCTAATAGAAGAGTTTGAAGAGGTTTTTTTTGTTTCTCTGATAAAGTGTTCACTGCTAAAGGTTGTGGTTTGATTTTAGTTATCAAAAGTATATTGACTGACATCAAGTTTAACTGAATCTCTGTATGATTACTGATTTTATGTTCATTTATATAGAGCTAATTACATACAATGGTCTTTTGAGGCTTTTTGTTATTATTTAAAGGCCCTTAATATCTCTGTTTCTTTAATACGGTACTCTTAAGTTCTCTAAGTGAACTCAAAATGACGTTGTGAATGGAATTGCATTATATAGGAAAAAACTAATAGAAAAATAAGGCTGAACAAATCTATAAAACACATAAAGTATGTAAATGCAAAAACCAGTGCCTGAACTGTACAGTAATCAATATATAGTACTCATTCTTAGATATCACTAATGTGTGTATATTTTAATACATTATGATGATTGAAAGTAACATGAAACGTCTTCCTGATGCATTTTCTCATAACGCTTCCTTTAACAAAGAAATAGTATTTTCTTCCAGACAGAAATCTCCCCTCATTCATGAACAAGTAGTTTTCACACATAATCCAGACATCATTGTGCTACTCAGGCTGTGATCTCATCTGGTTGTGATCAGAGTCATATCATGTATGTACATGAATAAGAGACTTCAGGATGAAAACTCAGCTAGAGATCTGATACTGATCTTTCCTCTGAAATGACAGCAGTTCCAGTTATGTGTAGTGATCATAAATGAATAAAGTTATTATTTGACATGGATGAGGACAGCTACAGGGAGATTATCAGACTGTCAGCTGAGCCTGTCTCTTGGACTTTGGGTAAAACCAAGCTTTTGTTTGTAGAGAGCAACTTTTCCATTTGATATTGCAAATTACAGAGGCTGCTCTGAAAATAATGCCTCCTGTTTCATTATATTGGCCCATGATGTCAAAGGCAGATGATGGTACGGCAGAAAAGGTTGAACCTTCCCTCCCAATATTCCATTACATTTTGTTATTGTGTGACAGATGGCAGTAAAGGGGCAGTCTGATAAAATGGTGTCTGACAGGAAGTATGTATAAAGCAAATATGTGGAATTGAATTCCTCCATGCAGAAAAAATTGCACCCATTGACATTTGCACAAATGCGCAGATCAGCTAACAGTGGTGACTATGTTGAAAGACATTATTTTGTAGCTGAGTATTTGCTCTAATAAATAGTGTTACTATGCTCTTTGGATTAGTTGTATTTTCCATGGAAATAGCATTACTTTTGGAGCAATCTATGTGTTTATAATATTTTCATATAAATATATGATTTTATTTTGTATATCACATATTTTGTGGGCAGATGTATTATATGTGTAACTAGAATATGTTTTGAGTTTTCATTATCAGCTTGAAATTGTCAGGTAGTATTTTTCTTCTCTATTACCAGGGTGTGTTAAAAATTTCAAAGGCTAGAACCTCTCATTGCAAAACTTGGTAAACAAAATGCCCTTCCCTGTTCTTCACCATACCAGTAATATCAGTCATAATCTTCAATATTGAGCTTTAAGAAATGTGCAGTATTGCCCATATAGTCTTTTAGCAATGACTTTTTTTTAGACTTTTAGCAATGTGTTGTTTTGCTTTCACAGATGCACGTGTGTGTCTGCATGTATACATAACAAACCAAAATATATGAAAAATAAACCAGTGATATTTTGCAGAAGACTCTTGGCAAAATTAAGGGCCTCTTGCTGCCTTTTGGATATCAGCCTTCTTTCCTAAATTTCAACACCTAATCTATCTAGAACCTAGAGGAGATATTACATAAACTAAGCAGTTATGTAAATGTATATTTAAATTCAGTTTGAATTAAAAAAACATTGGTATAAACTTAAGACTTCTGCCAGTGCTTTTGTATCTCAAATTGTTTTATGGTACTTCTTTTCACTAATTGCATTTTAACAGAAGAAAGTTTTTTTTTTTTTTTTTCAGATTGAAGAGAAAACGGGCCTCTCTGAAGAGCAGCTTAAAACCCTTCTGGAAGAATGTATGCAGCCTCAGAGAACAATAAGCAACGTTTCCATGCCAGAGTCTCAGGAATCTCTTTCTTGTGGATTAAGTCCCCCTTGTTACACAAGTCAAGACTCCATTCTTCACTCCACATCTACTCTTTCCAAAATGTTAGTTGAAGGCCATATTGTAGGGATGTTAACAGCTCTGGAAAAGGCTGGACTTGAAGACAAAAGCTTATGTGTTAATGCTGAGAGTGAAATCCCTAGCTACTATATCAGCAAAGCATTGGCTGATAGTCACTTATCAAAGGATTCACTGGCCCAAACAGAGGAACCTGATGACCTAGAAGGTTTACAGAAGATGAGAGATAAGAGTATTACTGAAGGTTACTTTATGTCAAGAGCACTGGACACTGAAAGGCTGAAGAAACCTTCTTTCTTGGGTGAACCATTATACTGCATCAGCATGAACAATGAGCCATCCACAGAGCCTGACATTCTCAGCATACCACTGCAAACCAAAGGAGGTGAGACCCTTAACAATCTTTTAGAATAGGCTTTTGATTGTGATGAAAGAAACAAGCAGGTTCTCACCAAAGGTATGCACCAATATGCATTGGCTATTATGGTAGGGCCAAAAATAACAAATGCTAAATAACAGAATGTTTATCAAGATTCTTCCCCTCACAGTAACTGGCTGTGAGATTAGAACTGAAATACAGTAATGATGGTGATCAGTTCTCTCAACTGGAAAATGGTATGCTTACACTTTTTATCTTCCTGGTAGTAGGAAAACATGTTCACTGTTCTGTGGAGAGAAATTATTCTCCCTGTTTTTAATAAACACTGGAGTATAGAAAAAAGCTTGACTTAGTTATATTAAAAATAACAAATTCATTTCAAATTTATGTATAGAAAATATCAGAAAGAGTAAATAATACATAATTTTTAAACTACTTCTAATTCAGCAAAGAAAAATAGAGTTTTTCTAGCAAAGATTAAGTTCACCCTATCTGGTGAAGAAGATTTTGGATACATCTGTATCATTTGTTGTATAACATCACTTTTCTTTCCGGAAAACAAACTGTTTAAATAAGCCAGATTGAAAGTGAGTACATCTAGCATATCTTCCATTTCTTTCATAAAACTGTGACTGTACGAAGCTGCTTTTGATCTACGGTTTAATTGTATTTTAAATTAATAAATTGTCAGAATAGATCTTTATTGTACTGGTATCTTCAGAATTTGCGGAAAGTTTTTTTCCCCTTCCCTTTCAGTGGAAGTTTAGAAGAGCATCTTGATACTTCTTAGCTGTGTTATTGCTACTTATTATCACAACAGTTTCTACAGTGAGGGGAATGGTAGTATCTTTACAAAAAGTGATTCCACCTACCAGGAAATAAGAAAACTTGTTATTGCTGATTTTATGCTGCCAGGCTTACTTAGTTTCCAGACCCATCTGCTATAATTACCCAATATTTGTCTGTAATGATATTTAGGCTGTAGCTTCAACAGAAAGAAAATACAGAAAGCAATTATTTGGGATCGGTTAGTTTTCAGCTAACATTGCATTATTAACCTCACCCTTAATGCAGATGCGAGCATCTGCTAAGTGGAGACAGAGAAAAAGCTGGCCTGCCCTAGAGGGCAGACGGGTGGTGGTCATGAGAATCAAAGAGAAGCGCCTGTGCCAGGGGCAGCTTCATCTGATGCAGGAGTGAAGTGACTAGATACAGTCTTGTTTCTCAAGCAGTCAACAGTGAGAAAAACTCATGCTTAACCTGCTGCTCTAACATGAATTAAAGTTCTTTTTCACTTAGTCTGAATAAAGGTAGTACAGTCAGAGACAAATTAGAGCCGTCCACTATCTTTTGTTCTTAAGATGTTTTAAGATGTTATGTATGTTAATTCAAGCAAAATGTCCTGCACTGTAGCCAGTGTATAGTGAAATGAGTAGGTAACTGCTTATGCTGTTGTTATAGACATAGTCAATATGAGATAATTTTATTGCACTAGAGGGAAAGGAGATTTCAGCAAAGCATGTGCTATTAGTAGTTTTCTGCATGAATATCTCATTGTGAAAGTGTAAGAGTCTTTAAAGTGACTTTAAAAATACTTGAATCATAATCATATGCTGTGTCAGAGCACTGCAATAAGGTGTTTTAATTATCAATTTTTGTAGTGGCTGCATAACCTTCAACCATGTAGATCTCACTGTGTGGTTAGTAAATATCCTTGCTAAATGGCCATTTTTCAACCTGTTCACAATTTCAGAATTCTCTCTGAATCTTTCGTTTTCAATGAAAACTTAGAAATGAAACCAAGGGAAATTCCTTATAGATGTTGTCAACTCATCAGACATTGAGTGATTGTGTCTGAGGCTGATTTTTAAAAATGGTGTGAACAGGAGTAGTCTTTGGAGGAACAAAAGTGCATGCAAAATAAAACACACTCCATAGCTTTGTAATTGTTATTACATTACTGGTAAATATCTTGCAGTTATCTGTAAGTTTAAGTTTAAATTTTGTTCAGGTTTATTATATTCAGTTAATATTTAGTCTAACTCTAAAATATATATCCAAAACTAACATTTGAATAGCATCCTATTCTTACTATTTTTTCTCAATGTACTGCCCATAAGGAAATGTAAAGATTTAAAGAAAAAAAAAAAAAAAACAAAAAAACCCACCATGAATTCTGCCTTTCCACAGAATTACATTATTTGTTTTCGACAAGGGCAACACAGTTCCATCTTATACAGTTATTCATGGCCATAACAGGGAAGTTGTATGCTTATCAAGTTGGTGCAGTTGCCTAGTGTATTCCACAGATAAACCTTCTATTATTAATTTAGTTAGGATTACATGTGCTAATTGTATTGAGAAATGGAGATCCCAATGGAGTCCAATTTAAAGCAAATTCACTTTCAGATGAAATTATGAAACATGTCAGGTTTGTTTTTAAGAAAAGTACATGGATACAGAGCTCTGTTCCAATAGTAGTTCTAAAAGATTTGTACCCGTATATGAATAATGTTCTGTAGGTGGTTGGATTGTCTGGCTTTCTGCACCTGGTTCATGATGTGTAAGCAAATAAAAATCGTATTTGTGTAAAACTGATTTATCACAATTTGGTTTCACAGTCTCTATAATAGTATAGTCTGTGATACAGGTTTACTGTAATACGTCATATATACATCTTAAGGAAAACATAATTACTAACATTGTTAAGTATGCTTTTTTTTTGTAAGAAATTTTAAGTAGATCTTACTCACTGCTTCTTCCTGTTATGAATAATATTGTGCTTTCAGCAACTCATGTGACTTTCTTTTTTACAGATGATACGAAGATTGAAAGTTGAGGAGAAAGTGACCATTTGCTTCAGCACACAGCTTTTCTAAATATGTCATTAGACTTCCACCAGTAATATTTTCATTCATTTCAGATACTCCAGAGGGAATTAATTCTCACTGAAAACTTTTCCATGACATAATCAATTCTTAAGAGAAAATTATTATCGTATATTGTTGCAGTTTGATTTCAAAGTATATAATCTTGCACTTCATTAAATTTCATGAGAGTATAATAAATAATTATACACGTGCATAATAGTTGTACATATGATTTTGTGTATCTATCTATCTGATAGATATGCAAGTAGGTGTAAAATATATAGAATAGTTTGTTGTTGTTTTCCTTACACACGATGTACTGTTTGCATGAAGTCAGCTTGAACCTGGTCTCAGTGATCTCAGTACAGTTTATTGCCTGTGAGCCCTGCCTGAGTGAATGACACAAGCACCCAGTGCCTATCTGCTGGATGTTGCGCTGACTGTAGGTAAGGACTTGAACTGCTCCTCTGCTGGATCAGGGTTGGGACCAGTCTGTTCAGCTGTGTTTGTGCAGTGGTCCTGCAGAGTTGAAACTGTGTGGCAAACAGGCATATCCTCTTATTCAGAAAAGTAATGAAGTGGGGAAAGATGGCAGCCACTTTGGGAAGCTTGGTGTGACTAGAAGTGAAGGGATTTAAAGTGTGCCCGACAGTGACTAGAATGTGAAGCCTTGCAGCAATGGCTGGCTGGGGTGAGGGTGGTACAGCTCATTTGTGTATGAGATAATAATAACAACTCATTACAACATTTTGCTTGTCTACTCCTTAACTACTATTTCTCTTGTATTTAATACATAAATATTGTGAGCTGGTGGTTAGTTTCTCATGTTATGCTCTATTACATTAGAATAAGAAGATATTAAAGGTTCTCTTTTAAAGGTATTTTTTTGGAGGAGGAGATATTTTAGCAAAAGTACTCCCATAGATTTTCCTGTTGATGAGGTCTCATCTGACAGAAAGGAAAAATTCTTCCTAAGTTACAATATTAGCCATTTAATATTCAGCAAGGACAGATTTATGAATACAATATAAAATATACAATGGCTGCATTATAGCATATTGGAGTTAATCTAAATGTTTAAATCAGTGCACATACTGACCAAGATTTTAATCTCATTTGTGAAATTGCCAGTCTAAGTGGACTTGTGTTCCTATATCAGTGGTGATCATTCAGAATCTAACCTACTTTCTTTTAACTAGAAATGTAATTTACTTTGTGATTACCATGTACTATATGGTGTTCTACTTTCTAATGATTTTACTTGTGTTGCAGCAATAGCAACAAGCACATGGATAATGAGTATTCTGCACTGTCCTCTTGCTCTTTATGGAAGGATTGCTTTAAGCGGATCTCATAGAGCTTTGCAATTTTACTTAACTAACTGTATTTCTTATAGTTAAAAATTATAAACCTACCTATGCCGAAGTTTATTTTTTGTACCATAAATATAATCAAAACAATACCCGCAAACTTTTTTCAGTAGAGGATAGCAGGGCTGTCCTCTGGCTGTAAACTTATCACAATCCATTTTCGCATGGAGTTCGTGTTTTATAGAATCCTCCTTAAAATAGTATTAAAAGGCTAGGATAATTTTTGAGGAAAACTAAGTTCTGTTTCAATTTTATATGTAGAATACCTACAATATATGTTAAGAGAAATGATTTGTTCTTTCTTTTCTAGTGTATATTTTGTTGTCTTAAATCTCTCACTGTTACAAAAAAGCTTCTCCAGGCATCCTTGAGGAAGAGCATTGTCACTTCATTATCCTTGGAGCCATGAATACAGATTCTGTTCACATCTGACATTTCAGGGGTGAGCACAATATTCTGAATGATGTCTGATGCGTATATTCTGATAGGAAATCTGCAATTACACTTATTGATGGCGTAACAATTCCCTATTTACCTGTGCTTGGTTACCCTGCCATTGTATTGCACATGAGTTCTTTGGAAAGATGGTGTTTCATGCTTGATGTTAGAAGTGAAATATAAATTCCTTTTTTTTTCTTTCTAGTTTTATGTTAAACTATAGGATGTAAGTTCACTGATAAGAAGTATAATATAATAGAGATAAAATATAGCAATGAGATCATTGCTGAAACAGCACCAATATGAGTCAAAGCAAAGTTGAGCCCAGGAGAATTCATGGTTTTTGACCTGGTCCTTCAGACTTTTTGGCCTGTTTTATTCTGCAGAATAAGTTCTGTGTGCACAGATTTGTACTGTTTTATACTCTGTGTTATTTCCTACTGAGATTTTACAGCACAAGGTAAATAATTTTGTTCCAAAAAATGTAATACTTGTGGGGAAAAAAACCATGAAAGGATGGTTTTGGTTGCTTGTCTTGATTTGCTCAGTGCTATAGGGCCAAACTATTCTCCTATTGTCACTGAATCTCCTCAGGATTATGCATATGTATAGTGCTGGTGGTTTTGGTAGCCGGCACACTGTGTACTGTGATGTGTGTGTTTCAGTTTTGCATGGTTTGTGCTTTTAAATAACAAACTCCAAAGTGTTTTCTTCTGAAGAAGAAAAATAAGGGTGATTCATTTTTGTGACTTATACACATATAATATGTATATTAGAAATATCTATATGTGAGTGGGATGACTTAAAGAGCAATAGTTTTGATTTGAAAGGAGTCTTGCCTACCTTTGGGCATCGTGCTGTTTGATGGGTGCAGGAGACAAGGTGCTTTGGCAGCTGCCTGGGAACTTGTTAAATTATGAAAGTTCTTGAGACCTAGGAAAAGTAACAACATTTATTTTTTTCTTTTTCAAATTTTCAAAATTATTGCTTTCTTTATTTGCAGCTAGATTTAGAGGTCAGGAAAATGGTTTCCTTTATAAACAAAACAGAAACACTGGAATACTACTAAAGCCATAACCGACAGTTATCCAATTATACATTTCAGTTAGGGATTGGCTGCAATCCAGGTGCAGTATTAAGAATAAAAGGCTTCCTGCCATTTAAGTCTATGTGAAATACTTTCTGCTTGCAATTGAATCTGCAGTACCTAGTATGTTTTGAAAAAAACCCTACAACAAACTGGGATGCTGTGAGTGTATATTAATTTATGGAGTGCTAAAGTACGTGACTAATTTTGACATATTCTTCAAGTAATAGTAAATATTGTGGACTTAGAATTCTTCCCCACCCCTACTTAAAAATGTGCTGTCTTTGCTGTGTTCTTGTGGAAATGCCATCCTATGCCATTATTTTCCTATTGTTTGCTTTGTGTATTTGGTATGCATAGCTTTGGTGGGAAGGGTACTGCCAGAGGCATTCTACCCTAATTTTACAATAGCACTGAAATTGCCTCTCCATTTCACTCTGGGAGTGGAGTCATCCAGGCAGACTGACACTGTATCTAAGCAGTTTTCAGTTCAGCTCTTGTGCTTGTTGCCTAATCAAGCAGTTCTTGAACTCGAATGTTGAAAAATTAAAGACAAATGGTGGCTTCCTAGAATTTGTATCGATTTGAAAATCTGAGTTTCTCTGGGATACTTGTCTATTTTTGTGGGTTTCCTGTAGAAGATTTTATTGATCTTTAAGACCTTTGCCTGCTGCACTTCTCTCTAAACAGCTCTCCTTTTTTGCCTCTTTCTAACTGCCTATTTGTACAGCTTTGTGCGCCTATTCCTTCACTTGTAGAAAAGATGAAGAACTAGGTATCACCTTATGAAGGATGTATTAAGATGCTCTCTTTTTATAGTCTCATAGTTTCTTTCTGAAATGCGTTTGGGCTTAAAATCAGCTAATTACTGTATTACAGTCTTCACTGTAGCATCAAAACATTCTTAGTTGTTTCTTGGGCAAATGCTCTACCTAGTCTCAGTTTTAGCTTCTTGTGGCCTCTTACATTCACATTCTCCAAGCAACAAGTGGGCACACTTAACCTAAGTGTTAGCAGAAAACATAGGGCATGTCTTTAAGACACGCATAATCTCTAATTCAGACACTACACTAATGTATATTGTGTAAATGCTTGTAATAAATTAGCATGAAAGGCTGGCTTGGGTTGAGAGAAGGTCATTGGAATTGGCTGCCAAGAATAACAGCGATAAAATATGGTGACAAGATATTTACTGAAACGCTGCTGATATAGTGTACGAGTAGAATTGAGCTCAGGAAAATTCATGGTTTTTTTTTTTTTTTTTTTTTTTGAGAGCTCATGAGACAAACCACTGCTACAAGGAAGGACTGAGAAGCTGGTTGTACTGCTTCTAGTTGAGATGGTGCCACATCACTAGCTTTTTGACTACAGCAGCAGTCTGGGTGGAAGACTTAAACAGGCATCTGCCTCTGCAGCTGTTTATCCTGATGTCTCTTTTCATGTGGAAGAAAAGCATGAGGCAGGCCTGGCTAGGGAGGAGTATATGATTAAAATCCCTCAGAGGTTGTTTTCCCCTTGTGGCTTTATCAAGGCCCTAGGGCTATGACTTTGCTTAGAGAGTCCACAATCATGCCTTTAAGACTGAATTGAGCTACTGCCCCTTAACTACAAAAATGCCTTCAAGTGGACAAGTTGTTATGCTTGGGCTGAAACATCCTGCACGCTCCATCTTGTTACAGTTTCAGTGGGGAGATTATTGAGGTGTTAATTTGAAGCCCAATTTGACACAGGTAACAGATATTAGCATAACTGGGAGCTGCAGAAATAGTACAAAGCATGAACAAAAGTAAGTGACACAGGAGCAAGTGTCCATGGTGATTTATTGTTCTCTGTAAGAAGTTCTATTGTACATCTTACATAACTTTTAAATGGAAAATGGTTAAAAATGTTTACAAAAAAGCAGGTTCTTAGAAAATAACACTAGAAAAAACATGGGGAAGAAGGAAGCAAAAAACTTCAGTTCAGTGTGCAAATATTTTATAAAAATAGAAATACTAACTCTACAGGTAGCATTTCATGATAAATTATTTAAATAGCATATCTACACAATTATGTGATTACCTATTACAATGGCAATGAGAAAAATAATTTATAAAAAAACACAAGCAATGGTATACAGGATGTCAAGAAAAAAATATAACAATATTATAAATCGTATTTGACATTTTTTTCCAATGCTATTTCCTTACTGGGAATATATTTTTCCGCAATGAATTTTTGACTATGTACAGCATTAACTCTTCAGAACTACAGTAGCTTTAAAGTTTGTTAGACATTTGAACTCTGCTTAATCCAAAGGTTTTTCTCAGTCACACAATAATGAGGTAATATTTGTACGTAAAACTTTCACTGTTTCTTTTCCTTTTTTGAAAAGACAAAGAAATGATATAGGTATAAGATTACTGCCCCTGTTCGTGTACATCAAGCCCTCTCCCTTTTCTGCAAGGAGCTCCTGAAATTCTGTCTAGGCTGTGAAGAATTCCTTCTTTTGTAGCTGCACATTGCTAGTTC